TCTATCTATCTATCTATCTATCTATCTATCTATCTATCTATCTATCTATCTATCTATATCAGAATCACTGCCTCGCTATATTGTGTCCTGATATTGACCCAAAGCAGCTTCTTTATTAACCAATGATAATAAAACTTATTCACAGTATAGAGAGGGGAATCCCACATTACCTCCCTTTTTCTGTCTAAATAAAAAGGAATGTTTTAAGTTTAACATAGTAAAATTACTTATAAGAAAACAGGTATCATAAAAGAATTATACTTACAATATTTATAATTACTTTTTCTTTAATTATAATTAAGGAAAACTATAACAATCTTTTCTTCAACTTCATCAAAGACTCCAGAAGGATATAATACTATCTAAGTAAACAGGAAGTATATTGCAAACAACTACCAAATGTCTAGAAATGGCATAGAGACATCTCAATGCCTCGGCAGTCACTCAAAGTTTTTCTGTAACATTGGCACACCCAGCTTCAGCCTACAGCCCCTTAGCATCTTACAGACTTTTCCATGAAGTAGTAAATTTAGGGCAGTCCCACCTATATTGACAGTTTGTCAGTTGTTTCCTTCTGTGTCCAGCAGATTGTCTGGCAGACTATTTCATGAAGCAAAAACCCTGAAAGACTGTCTCATCTTCTTTAGGAAATTTCAGAACTCATTTTTCTGTGGGTTCTGCATTGCAGTGCATACAGCATAACATCAAACAGTCCAGACAAGAGCGCGCTCTTGCCCAAATGGCTAACAAACTCTATAAGGAACCTCTAAAATGCCCGTAAACCTCTTTTAGTAGATTGGAGCTGCCAGGAGCAGATGTGTCTCATTGTCATAAAAAGTCATAAAATTTTAAAATATATTAAATTCCATATTCTCTATATCTTTGAAAGAGTTGAAAATATTTATCCATCTGAAATATGTCTCTGCACATCTCCAAAATCTAACTAAAATGACTACAAGCTTGACTATTATAAGTGACTGTCTATTAACCTGTATTTCTTAATCACACAGTACATTTTTAAATTTTTAAATGAGTAGCACAAACACAACACCTTAATCAAGAGTAGAGATATACATATAACAAAATTGACCTTATATTTGTATTAATTGACCAAAATCCATGCTAACATAAACTATTCATGTCTGTAGCATACCCGCACTTAAATGAAAAAAAAATATAAACAAGGTTTGGGAATTTGGGCATTGTGCTCTCGATTACTTCCTACTGATGAGGAGCACTGTAAATCAGGTGTTTCATGTCTTATTCTATATGTTTAATCTATCTCAGCCTTCAGTCTTGAAGCTGTTGTGATTGTTGGAATAGATAGGCCATTATTTAAGGGGAACTTGTTTGATCAAACTATATTATCCAGTAAGATATCTACAGCTTTTCATCCTCTGTAAATCAAAAGCAGAACCTTTTCTTTTTCCAAAGCAGCATATCCTTAGACCCAAATTCTAAAGTCAAGATACCTTTATGGTATATATGTTGCTTTAGCTTAGCAACCCATACAATGAAATATCTCTTTTACTTCGCTAATTCACAGTCAAAAAATTCAAAGAAAACACAATAGTATACATAATCCAGACTCTCTATGTATTTTCTCTATTCCCTTAATCTATGACTGTCTGTACTGCCTCTTTAAATACTTTGTTTAATTTTTTTAAATGATTTACTTCTATTTACAACTCTCTTTCTTCTCTCTCCTATGACTATGTTCAGTTTTAATCACACTGTGTCTCATTTAGAATCCTTTATGGCTAAATCTGTCCTATTGTGTATCTGAAATCCTTTTCTGAGAAAGAACATCTTAAAATGGTAAATTGCCACAGCCGTGGATACTGGCCCTGACTCTAGGCCTTTTAACATGGCAGAGGTAATTCATAGCTGTCTCTGGAACCACCTGGAGGGGACTGCACTTACCACCTCAACTCGGGTAACCATTTGGCTCATGCTGTCAGCAAGTAACTGACAGCAAGCTGTCTTCAAACCACATACAAGTAATCGACTTCCTGAAAGAGCCAGAGTTCTTAAAATTCACTTAAAATTGATTAAAATTAAATTAAATTCGTTAAAATGTCATCCTCGTGGAAAGTGAGATCAACATTTGAGCTTATGCAGTGAGTTTCACAGCTTATGCAGGTCATGTGGAGGAGAACAGAAACCCCTGTTTAGTTAACGTAAGACCCCAGGAAACTTGTTACTTCCTCTGAACCGATAATGAAAGGTTTCAAAAATGGCATGATAAAAAGATGTGACCCTGCTATGCTCACCTCCTCTTCTGCACCTATTTACCTAATTGTCAGCTACATGTGTATTTTCATCTAGTTATGACTCAATGATTCCTGGTGTGTTATCAATCTGTCAATCCATTATCTTTGAGGCTTGTGAGTTTCCTCCTCTGAGGTCTGTAAATGATGAAATATGCTCATTGTTGTTTGTGCTCTGTTAAATTGTTCCTAATGTGTGTCACCTGACAATTATCCTGACCTTGAAATCTTACCCTCTTAAAATACTCCATAAGAAAGAAAACACGAAGAAAATAAAATTTACATAAGACCATGGTCTCAATCCTTTGGTCTCAACCCTTTTAGAATACAAACCATTCTTTCACTAGGGTCACCTAAGACCACAGGGGAAACACAGAGATTGACATTATAATAACTGTACTTATAAGAATTACAGTTATGTCGTGGTAACACAAATAGTTTTATGACTGGGGATCACCACAGCATAAGGAACTGTATTAAGGTGTTGCTGCATTAGGAAAGTGGAGAACTTACATAATGTGTATATATTCACAGGATGATTTGTAAGAAATGATTCATGATTTCAAGGAGGAACTCAAAATAATTTAACTTCATTAAATTACATGACTTGATTCACTTAAGTGGCAGGTGAATATAGGTGTTCATTGGTACATGTTAGATGCAGATGAAGATTACAAGTCAGCCCTAAAAAAAAATACAAGCAATATTATATGAACTAAATTTCTTATATGTACTATATTTATATACACGTGTGTGTGTGTGTGTGTGTGTGTGTGTGTGAATGTAGGCATATGTATGCAATAAAACTAGTGAAGAATAGATCAGGAATTTGAAAGAGAGTGTGAATTTATAATTAGAAGGGTATGCCATCATTTCTTTAAAATAACTTATTCAACTCAAAGATAAAATATTGTGTGTTTGTAAAAATCCATCCTCCATAATATAATATAAAATACCAATGCCTATAATCACTGCCTATGCTAATGTTTTCAACTCTCTTTTTTGTGTGTATGCATATGTGCATACATGTATTGTGCTGTGTGTCTGTGCCTGTGTGTTTATGAACATGCAGTTTGGTATGAGATTTGAACCAACGTGTACATGTATATAACAAACAGAATACAAACACTATTACTGTTTCCTTGGTACCTTCCTTTCTTAAAAATATTTTACTCAATATAAACATAAATATTGTATTAAAAAAGACATCTTCCATACCTCAAGGTAAAAATCTTCCCTCTTTCCTAATCACACTATTCTGTGCTAATTTGATAACTCTGTCGTATCTTTTTCTGTTTGCCTCTGTGTGGTGGGGCATTCACATGTTTGTGCACAAACATGTGTGCATATGTGTTCATGTGTGTATGTGTGATTGTGTTTCTGCATGTGTGTACATGTAGTATATTATTTTGTTTCTTTTTATTTTTGAGAGTATAAATTAACTAAAACATTTCTCCCTTCTCCTTGCTCTTTCAAACCCTCTCATATACCTCAATATATTCTCCTTCATATTTATGAACTCATATTTTACCGATTCTTGCTGGATGCATATATTTATACAAATACATATTTATTCTTAAATATAACCTGATAAATCTGTTAACAATACCTGCACATATGTTTTCAAAGCAGGCCTTTTGGTACTAGATAAAAAAAATTGTGTGCTCTTCCATGAGAATGGCATATAACTTTCCCACATTCCCGCAGAAGAATATAGTGCTTTGTGTAAGATTGAGTTCTTCTGGGCTTTCCTTTGTTCATTGTGTATGTTCATCTGTGTTATCAGTATTCAGGTGACTGTGTATTCTATGTAAACCTCCAGTCACCTTCTACCACATCTCTGAAACTTTATGAGTTTAAATAAAAGCTAAAAGCTAGAATCCTAAAAGTTTCAGTACTTTCCCAAGGTAGAAAGTAAAAGAAACAAGTGACTGACACTTCCCTGAACATTTGCTGACCATTATCCTCAGGGAAAATAGTGGAGCAAATGAGCAGTGGGTGTTTCTATAGCATGAAATATTAACTACTTCTAGGTGGAAATAACATAGTGTGCTTTCTACAGAATTAATAAGATATGCAAAAAAATGTTTGGATTAAAAACATGGTCAGAAAACATGCCAGTACACAGAAATATAAAAATTTGATTGAGTTTTGCAAACAAGAAATGAATAATAAATAAATGGCAGAAAGCCCCTCAAATTACAGTACCATCAGCTAGGTATGTGGTCTTGTCTTCAACAAAAGCTTCTCAGGAGAAGGCAGAGAAGGACCTCCTCAGTGCCTTAGACTAAAATCATCTTGAACAGGATGATGTGATCATGTATCTGCATTATAGAAGGAAAAATAAAATGTTTAAGAACAACTTGTGAGCCATTGTACAACATGTATACTTAAGCCGCAAATAATTTTTATATGACTATTAACGTCAAAATAATAATTAAAAAGTGCCAAATTCCTAGAATAGATGTATGAATAATAAATCCAATGTTTACCAGTGATGTACAGTTTGGATGAAGTAGGCATCCAGTTCCCCTTGTGTGTCATTCCTTTGTCACAATGATCAAAATGACTCTAAAATTTGTACAGAACCAAAATACATCAAGTATCGATTAAATTATCCTCAAAATAAAACAAAATCAGAAACTTCCAAACATATTTCCTATTTTAAAAACCTAGTGCATTGTGACAACAGTCACACACAGACATACCCTCACATAAACATAATATTATTTGAGATAAAGTAATTCTCAAAATTATCATTTACTAGTTATTACTGAGCTCATCCTAGAAACGCCAAAGGCATATTAGGCAAAATTTTTCTCAAAATTTCTATGATAAGTGGATAACACCTGAGAATTGGATTTTCATTCACTTAATATTGTTCATAAGTGTGTGTATTTCATATATATGTGTGTGTGTGTGCGTGCGTGTGTATGTGTGTGTGCATGCATGTGCGTGTGTTTGTGTGAATGGACAATGAAAACAAAGCCATGAACTTCAAATTGAACAAGGATCAATATATGATAGAATTATGAGAGAAGACATGAAATGGGAGAAATCATGCCATTATATTAGAACTTCCAGAATTTAAAAAATACACAAGTCAAGAATGAACATACCAAAACTGAAATGTAGCTATAATTTAAAAAATAATCAAAGATTGTATAGCCTACAAATTAATCGTTGAAGTACTATTTAAAACAATTATTTCTAAGATGTGCAGCCACAGAAGTCCCAGAAGGAAGATATAAATGTTCTCTAAGTTCACTCTGGTGCACGGGGCTACCTTGGTGTGTTTCCAAATGCTCCTCCTATCCTGACACATTTTTCCTATGGATACAGGAAATAGAGGAGGTATAAGACTAGAACTGATATTGAATAATTAACTGATAAATGCGCGTGAGAAAATCAAGAGCATAATAATGGCAGCTTGAGTTTCACGGTATCTTTATACATGCAAGTGTCCATAGCAAAGCTCAAAAGACTGAAATCTTTCTATTGTTTGAAGTAAAACAACAAATACAGGAGATGGCACAAGTATTTCAAAAGATTTAAAAAAAATAAGAAATTTGGTTTTAACAATAAAATCACAAACAACAATTTCAATACAAGACGGTCATTCCCAAAAGAATAAAAACAAATTTATACAGATGTATTAGAATATATTTGCATATATATACACACCCATATATATATTATATATATAAACATATATCCATACATACATGCATGTAACAACAATATAAAAGGAGACCATAAAGAGTAAAGAGAACGAGAAGGGATATATAGGATTTTTTTTTGTGGGGGGGAAATGAAAGGAATAATCTTTTAAAATATGTTTAAAAATTTTAAATTGGGCTTAGGAATACTTTTCTGCAGGTTGTCTTTACTTAGAGAGACATAAAGGAAGGTCCAATCATGTGGGACATGGCATTCATAAAATTAAAAATAAATATACTTAATTTATACTTGGTGAACAAATGAGTGTTGAGGGGTTACAGATGGAATTCAGACACTTGCATCACCCAAAAACTCAGCACAACATGGTTATGACATGGAACGGGGCAGAGCTGGAATTTCCCTCCATGACTCCACTTCATAGCCCCTGATACTGTAATCATTACTTACTATTTCTATACATGAGGCAAAATGAAGAAGTCTTTCCAAACTAATAAGTTCATGAGCGTCGTTAACATTTGAGTGAATGGAGTGGCCCACATCCAGCAAATATCCGACCAAAAGAGGAATTGTTTGTATTAAGATGAAATTGATTGATGACAGAGGAAATGCACTAATCTGGGTCATATGAGGAAAGAACTTGGGACTAAATAAACACATTCAAGTTTCATCTCCTCACTCTTGCTTAACTTCATCTCACTTAGAGAATCAAGGAATGAGTAAAACAGAGTGTCTGGTACTTGATGTCACGTGAAGACGGGATGAAGTCACAATGCACAATAAAGTAAATAGGAAATAGGCTGAAAAAACCTACTGGTATTATTTTCTAATATAAAGGTTATGCCAAAAATATAGGATTCAACAATCAACTCCTCATTTTTGAGTAACAATGAAATACAGCTACTAAATTATAGAATTATAATTTCTTACAACTTTATTTCTTACATTTATAAATATTTAATCGACAGGTATAACACCATGATTAAACGATGAAAAATGAGAAAAAGTTCAATAAAATACATATTCTCCCATTCTAATCCAACTCAGTGAATTTTTTTTCACTTTCCTATCACTCTGTTCACCGTTCCCCACATCCTCTGAGCAGATACCATGTTTTGAAACCAAAATGGTTTCTTAGATGTCCACAGCGTCCTCTAGCCCTTCTAAGCTATAACAGTTCCCCCAGAGTTTGTTATAGAGATGGGATCAATTCCTGGAGGGTTAATTGGCAGCATGCCTAGCTGGGGATTTTTCCTTCACATATCGATTGCTTTTAAATTACTATTATATATGAACATATTTTAGGATGGTTCTACAGCAATAGGCATGAACAAAACCTCCAAATGTTCAAACCACTTACAACCAATATTGATAAAATGTTTGGACACAAAGTCCTATTCCTATCAGAAACATTTATGAAATTTACATCTGTTGAGAAGTGAAAAATCAGATTTTTAAAATAGAGTCACTGAGAATATTAACCACCATCTAGGCCTGGCTCCATGCTCAGGAGTAGTGGGCAAACATAGAATGGAATTCATGTTTATGACTGTTTTGTTGTTCGTTTTGTGTGTGTTTTATTGTATCTTTTATTGTTTTGTAAGGTTTTCTATTTGTTTTCATTTTCATTTTTTTTTCTTGAGAGAGAGACAGAGAGATGGAGAGAGAGACAAAGAGAGAGAGAGAAAGCAAAAATGTACAGTATACATGAACAAGTAGGATTTCATACGTGGAATAGCAACTGAGAAGGAAAAGAAAATCAGCAGTAGCTGATGATGCATGCTGGAGTGCAAACCTTGTAAGGAACTGGACAAAAGGAAACAAATTCTGCTCTACACTGGAAATATGAAACAGCACTGTAAATTTAATTGTTTCTAAAGTTGCCTTATTCACTCTGCTTTGTGAAGTCTAAGGAATGAAGATCTAATAAACCACCTTGTCTTCTGTAATAAAAGAAGGCAATGCATCCTGTTGGAAACATAAATAACTATGGTGGTTATAGATAAAAACAGTGAACAAAAATCTTTTCCTCAAGATTTAAAATGCTGAGGTATAATAGGGTGCATTACTGTTCCTCCAAAAGCTAATGAAGACACAAATCTTTTTATGGTTTGGATCAATGATCTGTTGGATTCTCATGTCTATGTAAGATGTTCATAGCTTGTTCTAAGATAGTATTACTGTAGTGACATATTTATAACAATGTTACATCTGAAAACTCTATTGTCTCCTGGGTGGGCTTCTCTAGAGTTGTGGCAGTTCACACATCCCATGCTGTTAATCATATTTAAGTCTGATCTTACTAGGAGCATATTCTCAAGAAGGATGGATGCAAACACACATATCTTACAATATGGTGTCTGAAAACCATCTGTAAATGGGATTCCAAGTGGGTTGCTATAGGGTTGTAGAAGTTCATGCATTTCATTCTTATCAATGAGCTCTAACTTCCATATAATTTGGAGCTTGTCACTGTATGCTCTGTGCAGTAGGGCAGGTTTGTGTGTACAGTAACAAGGGATGTTCTGCAGAGGAAGGAGTGTGAACAAGGTGTGTGGCATGATCAGACTGTCCATTCTACTGTGTGATACTACTTTTTCCTGCTCAAATGCAAAATCTTTATCCTTCTTTGTCCATCCTGGGTCATGAATAGGTATGGCTTCTATCTTTCACATACCCCAGGATTTTCCAAATGTATGAAACAAGCTCTAACTTGTTAATTCCCTAAATCTGTTAAAATGCTGGTGTTTTCCTGCTCATGCACTTTATTTGTAAGCAGTCGTAAAATGAAGGTGTGATGTGGACGGAGAAAAGAGAAAAGGAATTCTAAAGAGATGTGAGATTTCCCTCTGTATGTGGTGAATACCATTGGTTAATAAAGAAACTGTCCAGGACCTGCTCAGGGGATAGGCAGGGAAATGCTGGGAGGAAGAAGGCTGAGTAAGAGAGAAGCCATGTAGCCTGCCTTAGACTCTGGGAATTTTACATGGTAAGCCACAGCCACATGGCACAGATTAAAGGAGATGGGTTAAATTAATATGTAAGAGTTAGCCATTAAGAAGCTAGAGCTAATAGGCTAAGCAGTGATTTAATTAGTATAGGTTCTGTGTGATTATTAAAGTTCTGGGTGTCCAGAAAGAACAAGTGGCCTGCTGCTACACTAAAGAGGTGAGTTATGTTTCTGATCAAGAAAATCAGTGAGGTAGATTTGGTATGATGAATAATCATGAAGGCAACACTATCAAAATATCCAATTAGCATCTCAATAGAATGTTATTTTATGTTCCACTAAATAAAATCCACTTTAAACAATACTGAGATGTTATCTTAGTTCCTGGCAATATCAAGGTGGGAGAGAGAGAGAGAGAGCCTTTCACAGATATTTAGTTCCCCATTGTTGAATGCCATTTAAACATTGGTTTAAACACCACTGCTGACAGTGCTAGGAATCTACATAATAAATCTATAATTTTCAGTAATTATCAGTTTTCCTCAAGTGTCAACATCTTCTCCATTTTAATCATTACCAGAATCTCACTGCACTGAATGCTAGATATGAAACATTTTTCCACAAAAAAGGTATCTTGATGATTCATACCTTCACCTGTATTATCCATCATCCCACAAAAAAAAAGAAAAAACTTGCTTCACGGTCCAGCTGAGGAGAGTAATGAAGGCTCAGTGACTCTGTATCCCGTTCCAAGTCATCCTGTTGTTTATTTCCTTTCCTGGCTGCTCAGGAAAATTTAACATGTGAATATCTGCAGTTATAAAAAAAATAGGTTATTATTTAACTTACAAAATCATTCCTTTGGGTCTATTTGATAATAAAATATATAAAATATAAAAGGGAAGAAAAATACAAATCTGTACACCTGTTGACAATGAACTGGACAGAATATGAGATAATAAACAATTAAAATATCCAGCATGTAGAGAATACAACATATTGTGTAAGGAAGCAGCACCTGTGCAGAGCCTTAAAGGACAACACTTCTGCATGTTAAATAGAAACCAGGAATATTTACCCTTCCCACCTCCATCTCACATTGTCCTGGAAGGTTTCCTCAAAGCAGTTTGTGGGGAAAATAAATACTACACAGATCTTATTCTTAGATGTCTGGTGCCAATGACTGTCCTGCGCTACTGTCTCGCCAGCAAGAACAACGCAGGGCATGTAGGATCCTTCTGCAGAATAGCTTTTTAATGCATCTTGAGAGCAAGAGCATAAGCCAACATGGTGGAGACCCAGAGCGAGGTGAACCCAGCCCTTATATAGGAAACAGTCCCCGCCTCGGATGTGTCACTCTCAGATTGGTCAGCTACCCATCATCCCAGATGACGCCTCGGGAGAGGCAGGGACTACAGCGTTGGAAATTTACCAACACATGTGCGTTATCCTGTTCACCGGGTGGTGGAACCGGATGTCAGCGCCATCTTGCAATGGCGAATGTGGTTGCGGTCCTCTACATCTCCCCCCCTTTTTTTTTTACTTCATTGCAGAAAGGCAATTCCCTCAGAAGGCAAAGATAGAGGTCGCACTTCCCAAAGTGGAAACATTATAATGGGCTTGCACGGAATCTGCCCCTAGGTTCATGACACCTGGAACTTATCCGGCCTGCCCTCTGCCATCTTTCTGGGAAAGGGAATACACGGCAGGAAACCCTTATGCAGGGCGACATATCTCTCAGAGAGGGCCATTCTCTGTGCGATGCTCTTTAGCTCGACAACCTTCAGGGCTAGCTAAGCCAAGCACTCCACCCTGTGCAATGGACAGAGGTGTCCTAGGGGTGCAGGAGCTGGTTGGCATAAACCTTACTGCTTCACCATAGATAACCACACATCAGTAGAGGTTCCCTGTTCCAGGGCAGCCAGCGCTTGTGCAATAACCACACTTTGTCCCTATAACTTTGGGATTTGAGTCAGCAGACCATCCAGAGGAGAAACACTGATCCACAGCATAGGGCTGTTCCAAACATTCCCGCCCCCACCCAATCTTAAAGTAGGAGATGAAGGACACAACCCAGGACTGGAATCCTTCGGCTAAGCTTATAAATAGAAGGTAGGGGAGCCCCAGAGTCTTATTGGTTGTAAAATAAAAAAACGAGGAAACACTGCCACTCTATGGCTGACTGGTGTCGGTTTCAGGAAGGCTGAAAGTATCCCCCATCGCTGCTCCTTCGTAACCGTTGTCATCCATCCGCAAAATGGTAGGAGGAACAGAAGCCAAATCTTCAGGCGAGTCCGCGTGTCGTGGGTCACCCCTCACCGTTCGGGTCAGTCTTTCTGGCACCCAGAATGGATTTTCCTGGTCCTGCGGGAACACACAAACAGCTCCCCTGGATCTCAATAGGATGGGATCCGGGCCTTTCCATTCATTAGAAAACACATCTTTCCATATAACCAAATCCTTGGGCCGCTGCGGATCCGAACTGCATTCTGGCCATTATCATCCAGATTTAAAAAATTTATAGTGAACAGAGCCATGGCAATGGCTACTCTTGGTGTCGGGGGTAATTCCTTCAATATTCCCCCTTTTTGTTTAAGTAGATAAGATTTGAGTGTGCGATGTGCTCGCTCTACAATACCTTGCCCCTGGGGGTTATAAGGCAGGCCTGTAATGTGTGTGACTTGCATCTGTGCACAAAATTGTTTAAACTTTTGAGAAGTATAGGCAGGACCATTATCTGTCTTTAAAGATGTGGGCTTGCCCCAGGCACTCCATGCCTCAAGACAATGTTGAATGACATAAGAGTTTTTTTTCTCCTGTAAGTGGTGTGGCATGAATAACGCCAGAGCATGTGTCAATTGACACATGCACATACTGAAGTTTTCCAAAGGCAGTGATATGAGTCACATCCATCTGCCATATTTGCAAAGGCGCAATCCCTCTGGGGTTTACGCCAGTGTGTCTGACAGGGAGAAACTGGCAACAATTATGACATTGGGTTACAATATCACGAGCCTCCTTTCTGGTAAGAGAAAAACGTTTACGCAGGGTTTCAGCTGTAACATGAAAATTATCATGAAAGGTTTTAGCGGTCTGTAACGGGGAGGCAAGAGCTACCGCAGCAAGCTGCGTAGCACGATCAGCCAGATCATTACCTAAACTCATGGGGCCCGGGAGCCCCGAATGTGCTCTTATGTGTGTGATAAAAAATGGAGCTCTCCTATTTAGTAAACAGTCCTGTATCCTCTGGAAAAGAGCTGCCACTGTACTAGTAGGTTTTATAATTCCAGCGGTCTCTAATAATTTAACAGCATTAACCACATAGGCAGAATCAGAAACAATATTAAGAGGACAATGAAATTTTTGAAGAACCTCTAAAACCACCATACATTCCACCACCTGGGGTGAGGTGGCAGAAAAGTTCTTTGTATATATTTTAGAATCCACAACATAGGCTCCCACACCATTTTTGGAGCCATCTGTATACACCATCACCCCGTCTTTTAGCGGGACAGAAGACGTAACTCGGGGAAACACAATGGGATGACATGCAGCAAACTGCAGCAGAGGGTGTTTGGGATAATGATTATCAATTTTTCCTGAAAAGGTGGTAACCAAAATTGCCCAATCGTCAGAGGTGGCGGCCAAAGTTTGTATCTGAAAGGGGGTATAGGGAACTATCATAACCGCTGGATGCTTACCAAAATGACTAACAGACATTTTAAGGCCTTTAAGGGCAATTTGAGCTATAGTAGCTGGATACCAATCAATACTTTTGTTAGGAGAAGCATGCGGATGGATCCACAGTAACGGTCCATCCTGCCATAACACAGCAGTGGGTAGCTTTCTTGTTTTAAACACACATAGAACAAATGGTTGAGTTTCATCAATACGGCACAGCTGTGCCTCCTTAATGGATTCCTCCACTAGTAATAAGGCTGCTTCTGCTGCCGGCGTCAAGGCCCGAGGGGAGGTAATATGAGTTTCCCCTTCCAAGATATCAAACAATGGCTTCAAATCAGCAGAGGGGATTTTTAAAAACGGTCGCAGCCAATTAATATCTCCTAACAACTTTTGGAAATCATTTAATGTTCGCAAATCGTCCCTATAAATTTTTATTTTTTGTGGTAGAATCTTTTCAGGAAGAATAACAGAACCTAAGAATTGGCCAGTGTCTGTAATCTGGACCTTCTCAGCAGCTATTTGAAGACCCCATAGCTGTAAACTCTTAATGAGCAATGGGTAGGCTTCCCTTAGGACCTGTGGATAGGCCCTTTGGGATGACCTCATGGCCCTACCGCTGGTTAATTCTGCCTCCTCCTCTGTATCTAGTTCTTCTACCTCTTCTCCTGAGCCAGAACTTTCATGCTCACTTTCATGGTCACTTTCAATTTGCAGAGCTTCAAGCTCCTGCAGAGGATATAAACTACTGTCCTTTCCTTTTTTCTTATTGTTGGTTCCAGAAATCTTTCGACCTTGTAAGTCAGTCCTCTCCCCCATTCTTATTTTCTTAAAACCACTGGAGGGTCCTTTTTCCTTATTTGAGACTGTGCGCGCACCTAACCTCTCACTGTACTCAGTTTCTGAAATGCTATCCTGGACTTCCTCCGTTGCAGCAACCGCCTGGCAGGATTCGTCTTTTAAGCCGTCTTTGGCGAAAAATAAGAGGACTACTAAAAGAGGTAGCAAGGCCCCTACGAAACCTTCCCAATGCGGAAACAAGTCAAGCTCAAAACCGAAAAATCCAGGAAAAGCCATATCTCTCTGAGTATACAGACCTGCAGTTCTGAATCCTCCTTGTGTCCAAGGGGTCTCTGGCGGTGCGAGCAGTTGTCAGGGTCCCTCAGCGTCCCGAGGGATTCGGCACCAGATGTCCCGCGCTACTGTCTCGCCAGCAAGAACAACGCAGGGCATGTAGGATCCTTCTGCAGAATAGCTTTTTAATGCATCTTGAGAGCAAGAGCATAAGCCAACATGGCGGAGACCCAGAGCGAGGCGAACCCAGCCCTTATATAGGAAACAGTCCCCGCCTCGGACGTGTCACTCTCAGATTGGTCAGCTACCCATCATCCCAGATGACGCCTCGGGAGAGGCAGGGACTACAGCGTTGGAAATTTACCAACACATGTGCGTTATCCTGTTCACCGGGTGGTGGAAACGGATGTCAGCGCCATCTTGCAATGGCGAATGTGGTTGCGGTCCTCTACAAATGACAAACAGGATTTCCACATTTTTCAGAAAGGGCATAGCTTTGTGTAAAGTAAAGCAAACAGATATCAAGAAGATGCACTGAGATCTAATGATTGCAGCAAAATGCAGAACACAACAAAATAAAGAGTTCAATCTAGTTATTTACATGAGTAATCAATAATCAGAAATGGAATTGGGCAGCAAGAGGTTTTACAATACCACAAACTCAGGGAAATATTCTCCACCAGTGTCAGCACTCAGGATGCAGAGAGGATGTTTGGCTCTGCTGCTTGAGTTGGAACCTCATTGTGCAGCACAGTCAGACTCTGTATAAGAAATTAATGATGTAAGTTAAAGGACAAAATATGAATAAATAGATGTGAGTGTTCTTAAGGCTATAAACATGTATACTATAGGGCTAGAAACAACAAATGGATTCAGCAGGTTATATTTATACAACAATATTTTTTGTGTGCATATGCATAACAATAATAAGCAATGAAGAGGTAATGAATTTGAAAGTGGAGTAAGGAGTAAATAGTAAGAGTTAGAGAGACAGTGATGTGAAAATTATGCAAATATACAAGTCTTGTATTAATGCTCATATATCTAAATTAAAAAAATAGAGCAAAGGGACTTAGAAATACCATTCAGTAGAGGAGTAGGACAAGACAGGAGAATTGGGATGAAAATGACCCAAGATCATATAAATGTACGAAAATTTTATATTGATTATGAAAGGTTACTCCAATAAGAAGAAAAGACTCAACAAATCAGGTCATGCACAGAGCTAGAATTTTATGCATTTAAATGGAGGTAATACCTAGAACTATAAAGGGTTTAGTACTTCCACAAAAGCTAAAAAGGAAAAGATAAAAATTGATAACACTTCACAGAATATTTATTGGACACTATCTTCAGCGAAATTGCTGGACAAAATGAACAGTAGGTGTTTTTATAGCAAGAAACATAAACTATGTCTTGTTGGGGGAAAAAGTATGTGATTTCTAAAGAAATAATAAACTATACATAAAATTTAGATTTAAAGATATAGCCAGCAAACATGGTACTACATCAAAATATAAAAATATAATTGAATTTTACAATCAAGAAATTAGTAATTGAAAACAAAAGGGAAAAATAGCAAGATTTACAATACCACCGGATATGTGTGATGAATTTCTCTTCTGTGAAACCTTCCTCAAAGTTGGGGAGAGGCACTTCCTCCACGCCTGCATCTGAGGTTATCATGAGCAGGTATGTGAGACCCTACAACAGGATCATAAAATAAAAAGTGAAATATTTAGAAAAAAAGTAAAACATATACACTTAAACAGAAAATCACTTTTATAGGACTAATAAGATCTACATGAGGTTTAGATAGTTTCAGATTCCTAGACAAGCAATTTTAATATTATAATGAATGCAGTATTCACAAGCAATGTATACATAAGGTACAGTGGGCACACAGATCTCCATATGTGTCATTCTTATCTCATAATGATAAAAAAATTATTCTAAAATTTATACAGAACAAAAAGAAATTCAGGATCGATGAAATTGTCATCCAGAATTTAAGAACAAGATAAAAGCATTCCTCTCACACTTCCCATTTGCAAAACTTACCAGATTATGACACAACACACACACACACACACACACACACACACTTATAAAAACACAATATTTGAGACAAATTAAGGGTTCAAAAATACCATTTTTTGATATTATTTTACTCATGAATTCCCAAAATGTATACTAGTTAAAATGTTTCTCAATTATTCTGTCATAATTGGATAACACAGAAAATTGTGTTTTTTTCACTTCCATAATACTTATAGTTGACTCTTTATTTATGTAATTAGGAGAGTTTGTGTGGGTATGTGGGGGGGTGTGTGTACTAGCAATGATAAACTGGGCAGTGGTGGCATACACCTTTAATCCCAGCACTTGGGAGGCAGAAGCACAGGACAGTCTCTGAGTTTGAGGTCAGTCTGGGCTACAGAGCTAGTTCCAGAACAACTAAGGCTGTTACACAGATAAATCCTGTCTCAAAAAAGAACAAACAATTAAACAGAGATCACAGATTTAAAAGTTAACAATGAGAGTTATATGGTAGGCTCTGGAAAGAAGAAAGAAAATGGGAAATGATGCAATTTCATTATAAGTTTGAATTTTGTAATATACTTAAACAAAAAAGCAGATCCTATACCAAATGTAGGTCTAGTTTTAAAAATATACAAAAATAATATATCTTGAATTTAATCTCTGAAGCATTAATAAAAGAAATACTTTCTAAGTTTTACAGCAATAAATTTTATTGAAAAAAAGATAAAAGTACTTTATGCCCTTTCTGATGGATGAGGCTTCATTGGTGCTCCCACAGGCTCCTTCCTTGGCACAAAATGCTGGAGAAATAAAAGTTTCCTAAGGAAAAATAAAAGGAGATCTGAAACCAAATAGTTAACTAAAGAATATACTTATGAAAATTTGAGGTGCACTGGTGCCATCTAGAGTTTCACATGAACTTTAGACGATTGTCAGCACCAATGCTCAAAAACAAACCTTTTTTGTTTTACTTTTGTTGTTTTTTATTAAAATTATTTATTTATTAAAAATTTCCACCTCCTCCCATTTCCCTTTCACTCCCTCCTTCTCCAGTCCTAAGAGAAGTAAGGGTGCCCTGTCCTGTGGGAAGTCCAAGGCCCTCCCCCCTTCACCCAGGTCTAGGAAGGTATGCATCCAAACCGACAAGGCTCCCAAAAAGCCACTACATGCAATATAACCAAAATCCAGTGCCATTATCATTTGCTTCTCAGTTAGCCCTCATTGTCAGCCACATTCAGAGAGTCCGGTCTGATCACATGCTCATTCAGTCCCAGTCCATCTGGCCTTGGTGAGCTCCCAATAGATCAGTTGTACCTTCTCAGTGGGTGGACACACTCCTCGCAGTCCTGAATTCCTTTCTCATGTTCTCCCTCCTTCTGCTCTTCCTCTGGACTTTTGGAGCTCAGTCCAGTGCTCCGATGTGGTTCTCCATCCATCGCCAGATGAAGGTTCTACGGTAATATGCAAGATATTCATCAGTGTGGCTATGAGATAAGGCCAGTTCAGGCAACCTCTCCTCTGCTGCCCAAGAACCTAGCTGGGGACATCTTCTTGGACACCTGGGAACTGTTCTATAGCCAAGTCTCTTGCCAACCCTAAAATAGCTCCCTTAATTAAGATATCTTCTTCCCTGCTACAATATCCACTCTTCCTCCACCTCAACCATCCCATTCTCCCAAGCTCTCCCCAATACTCCCCTTCTCACTTATCTCTCCCCCCTCCCCTTTCCCACACTCCACCTCCACCCCTGTGCTCTCCACTTTTGTCTGGCGATCTTACCTACTTCCAATATCCAGGAGGATGAATGTATGTTTTTCTTTGGGTTCACCGTCTTACTCAGCGTCTCTAGGAGCACGAATTATAGGCTCAATGTCCTTTATTTATGACTAGAATCCACTTACGCGTGAGTACATACCATATTCATCTTTTAGAGTCTGGGTTATCTCATTCATTAAAGTGTTTTCTATTTCTAACCATTTGCATGCAAAATTCAAGATGTCGTTGTTTAAACAAATCCTTTCTTTCATATGAGGTAAAGTAAAGAATACTAAAGAAAATGTTACTCATTCCGACGATTTTAAATAAAAAAGATATCTTATTTTAACAAGGGAAGCACACACACACAAATGATTATTATATACTTGATGATCAATCTAGAAAAAAACATAAAGAGTAAAATTAGATAGACCTGGCAGAGTGCATTTAATTAGAAATATATACGTACATACATATAGTTATGTGTATGTAACATCAAATAATGCTTCAAAGTGTTATGAATTTCAAGAAAAGCAAGAAGGAATGTAGAGGACAATTTGGAGGAAGAAAGCATAGGAGCGAAGTATGTAATTTTATTATAATCTCAAAATTTAAAGAAATAATTTTTTAAAATTAAAAACAAAATTAAACTGCACCTTGACATGCTTTCCTGATATTTATCTTTCCTTAGAGAGTCAGAATAAAGGTACATTCATCCAGGACACGAATAAAGTTAAGAGAAAATTGATCTAAACTTCTACTTGGTGACACAGTGAGCTTATTGGGGTTACATATGGAATTTAGGCAAATGTATCACCAAAAAGCTCAACCCAGCAAGGACAATGACTTGGAACAACTGCAGAGATAGATCTTATCTGCCATGGTAACCAGCAGCTCAACTGAATGGACTCTACTACCACAATCATTACAATTCAAACTAGTAAGTTCATGCACTTCTTTATGAGTGTAAGTGAATGCAGTTCCCAGAGTCCAGAAAACATGCTCCCCAAACCAAATGCTTTAATTCACAGGAAATGGATTCACAACAGAGGAAATGTAATGAACAAAACTAAGGAAAGACTATGGCGGCAGATCAAGCACATCCAAGGCTCATCTATTCAGTTACTACTTAAGTAATCACCAGTTGAGAATAAGGCAAGGAAATGGTAAAGGGGCATAATTCTTGGTATAATTTGAGGTCTGAATGAGGTGAGCAATCCAGTAAGATCGTCTCCTGTATGATAGTGTTTTCTTAAGTCACAAATATATGATACAATCATTAACTACTCATTTTTGAATAATAGTGAATAACAGCCATTAATAAAAAATAACATGGCAAACTATTTTTATGTTTTTGTTCATACTGTTTTTTGGGGGGGAAGATTTTGTGACAGGATTTCTCTATTTAATTTTAGTTGCTCTGGAACTCATTTGGTGGACCAGGATGGCCTCAAATTCAGAGATCTGCCTGCTTCTACCTCCCAAGTGTTGTGACTAAAGGCATGATCCCCATTGCCCTGCCATAATAAATCCATAGCACTTCAATTATTATATAATTAAACACTTTATCAGTAAGTATAATAGCATTATTAAATTATTTAAAATCCAATAAAACCTATGTTCTCTAATACAGATTCCTATTTGTGAAAAGTTTTCTATCACTATGTCTTCCATCTCCCCACAGGGCATGCTTTGTACTGACATCATGGTTTGATGCTACAGCATTTCTTTAGAACTTCCATGTGACCCACAGCATACACCACTCTAAGACATAAAAGTCAGACTACAGGTTGTTATAATAATGGAATCTCTGAAAGGACCTGCTGGGATGTTTTTAATCGTGCCCATGTATGAGTACATAAGACTAACCAAATTAACCATTATTAACTTTCTCACTAACATATCATCCCTAATTAAAAAAATACACTAGAACTAATGGACTAAATTATTTATAGAATGATATGAGTCATAAGAGAGCTCAGGGTTGGCATTGTGGCTGCAGTAGAAGCTGTTGCGTCTCTATCAGACATACCTGACTGCTGTAGGAAGTCCAGGCTCTGCACATCATCCTCTGCCCACATTCCTTTACAGAGAAGAGAGGGAAATAGTATTAATCTGAAAGCATAATTGCCCACAATAAGGATAGGCGTGATTGTCTTACTTATATTCCGTTATCACAGATGCCCTCTGTGAAGCTCCTGAAGCTTTAACACTTTCTAGAAGTCCTTTACCACAGAATTAGGCTTGGTTTCAGTATCTTTCCTTAGGAACTTGGCCTCAACACAAATCTTACCAACTTTTCTTGTAGTATACAAGATAGATGTCTTCCTCTGCTTATGCATTCTCCCATATCATCTAAGATGTAATACCACCATGTAGACAATGCAAAGAATTTTCAACCTTTCAAAGAACTTGCTGAACACAGGTTCAGCAAAGCCACTAAACGTCCATGACAGTCTCACTGCACTTGCCCTGTACACGGTACTCTCAACCTCATCACCTGGGCATGACACATACTTCTCTCACACTTAGTCCCCACAGAAGTGCTTACTCCACCTCTAATCCTTTAGGTTCTGAGTCCCCTGGGGAATCCACTCTTGATGGACAAACATCCCTAATGGCTCACATGAGCCAGTCCATCAGAGAATGGTATCCTTTATACTATAACAGTTTAGGCATTCTGTGCCTCAAGGAGGAATCAATAGCTACAAATCTTAGTTGCTAGGCTTCCAAAGCCCTAAGACTGATTTTATGTGCCCCCTTGGAGTACATGTAAACAAGTCATCCTGTGAGAGAGTCTCATTTCTTATCTATAACACCAGAATTGTGAAAGTTGAATTATCCTCGATTGCCATTGTCTCACATATCTGATCCTAAATGCTACTATGACTAAAGGTCGTTTCACAGATTTTTCATTGTATCAAAGACAGTACTCACATAGTAGATTTTTTTATTTTTATAGATCATGTGCTTCCTATTTGCTACATGACTCTTCCCAAAGGTTTCAGTTTTGGTGATCCCTGATACTGTTCTATATTACTGCTATAATTTGTGGCCTTTTTACATATGCTCACAAAATAAAATCCTATACCTCCATTTCTCTGCTTTTATCCAATTAGCTCACTATGTCAAATGTCAATACAAAATCACTGCCTTGTATTCCTTTCTTGCTACAATTTAGAGCTTACACCCGCAGATTCCCTCCTACCAACTCACACTGGCCTATATCTCTCATGCATGTTGCCTCTGAAGCTGTCCACTGAGAGTTATGCACCAGATGGGCCATCCCTAGAGCTGACTCCATGTACCCACTAAACCATAACGCCTAACACAGCATACAAAGTTGAAAAAGACCACTATAGTGTAATTTCACCTATAGATAACTCCAGGCAGTGTGGCTTCAACTTAGAGATGTGTCATTACATCCTTGTACAACCCATAACTGGGCAACTACCCCCAAACACTCTGTAGAGTCAATCAATCATGGAGACATCCTATGAAAAGTGTGCTCTCTCATGAAACTTTGCTTCAGTTATTTGTGTTATTTCCCCATATCGTGAACAACATCGTTGATTTCCAAAACTCTTCTGCAGGCTTGGTTTATGATTACAACAACCATAAGTGGGACAAGCACTCCTTTGTGTGGGGAGAAATGTAAAATACGCTTACCACTCCTACTATATATGTTCAAAAGGTCAAACCTATTTACATTCCACCAAGATAAGCATGAGAAAACAATAATGTTTTGTGCTTACTTACACCACATAGATGACATGCTCATTACTGCATTGTGCCCTCTCTACCAAATGCTGCGGGAGAACATCTTTCCCTAGCAGTAATAATTGCTATCCTATAATGGCATAGATAGAATTTTCCCTATGTTCCCACACCTTATATACTCTAATCCCTCACTGAGTCCCTGTTAACATGGGACAGAGTGGCATAAAGAGGGGTGAAGGATAAGCTGTATAATCAGCTTACAGGCTTCTGATTCTACCTGCTCTCTTATGTGTAGCAAAGTGTAAATGTGTCTCCTGGGTGGGTTTCTCCAAAGTTGTGGCAATTCATACATACAGTGCTATCAGTGAGATCTAACAGTGATATAACCAAGAGCTTATCGCTGTGTCCTCTGTGCCCATGGCATCACAGCAGGGCAGGTTTATGTATCATTTAATATCTCTAAACCTTCTTATTGACCCCATTTACGCCATCACTCTGTGATGTGGGTGACAGCACATGTGTTTCTGTACGTCATCTGCAGATGTTAGAAGTCCATACAATAGTCATCATGATATATAATAAGGTACCCACAAATAAGAAGAAATATGAGGAATGAAATCATATGATTTTTATAAGACTTAAGTAATGTCCTATGACAGTGAAGTGAACACATTCGTTTCTGCTATTGTGAAAGATGTCTGGATGACCATAGAGGAAAGATGGGACTTCTGAGTTCCAAATGCACAAAATAGAAGCAACTAATATTTATTACACAATGCACAGCAGTGAGAAATTTGGTCTGACTCCTTACACCTGACACCCAAGAACATAGAACCAGGTTGTGTCATTCAAAATAGGAATGTGGTCTGAAGAAATATTGTATCTTTTGGTCAAACATGGTCGTTTTATGGCTATCTTTGGAGGGTAGGGTATACTTCAAAGGCTTAACAAGAAATGTAGCTTCAAATGCTGCTGTGCTAGCTTGTGGGAAACCATTCCCTTTGGTGGGATGCCATGCTCAGCCTTAATGCTGTGGGAGGGGCTTGGTCTTGCCACCACTTAATGTGCAAGACTTTGTTGACTCCCCATTGAGCCCTCTCCATTGGGAGGAGTGGATGTGTGGTGAGTTTGGGGAGAGACGAGGAGACTCAGGAGAAGAGGTGGGAGTCAGATTTTTGTTGAAATGTAAAATGACATTTAAAAAATAAATTTAAAAAAATTAATTAATTAAAAAATGCTGCTGTGCAGAGCAATGAGTATAAAGATAGGGATGTGTGGGAATGTAGGACAGTGCTTTCTACTAAGTGATTCTGTGTGTCCCAGCTCAACTGTAAATTTTATCCTCCTTTGTCAATCCTAGATAATTACAAGTGTGAGGCTTTTGGCTTTTCTCGTGCATTTGGATTCACCCATTTGTGTGGAAGAAACTCCAAATTTTTAACTGCTTAAATCTGTCAAGTTACTTTTGTCTTCATGTTTATGCCATTTATTTGTAAGCAATGGTAAGCTGAATGACTGATGTGGAAGAAAAAAGGGAAAAAACATTCTGTGGGGGTGAGAGACTTCCTCAGCAGGGGCATCTAGATTTGGCATGGTGGATAATCATAAAGACTATATTCATTTTCACTTCCAACACATCTAATCAGCAACTCAGACATAAAATGATTTCATGTACCTCTGAAAGTAGATTCCACTAAATAAAATAGACCTAGAACAATGACAGTAAGAGGTTATTTTATAGTTCCTTGCCACGTTAAGGTGTGAGAGACAGTGTGCGTTTCACAGCTAATTTAGCTTTGCATTTGTGAACTCCATACGAACATAATGCGTTGGTGTCAACACCACTGCTGACAGTTTGTGATATCTACATAGTAAACTTTATGATGTCCACTCACTTTAACAATTTTACCCAAGTGTCAACATTTTCTGCATTTTACACCTTACAAAGATATCACAAGGGATACTTAAGGCTAGTAATGTAACCTTTCCATTAAAAACAACTGTTTTCAATGTTCAAACAATACTCATATATACCACTGGTTACTAATAAGGATTTGTTTTTTGGTCAAGACCGAGGAAAATAATTTAAACTTACTTCATCTGTGTCATCTTCTAAGCTCATAGGGTTGTTGCTATGTATCACTTCCTGACCACTCAGGAAAACGTCCGTTGTGGATAATGGCAGTTATTTAAGGAACCGAGGCAACGACTTAACAAATAACTGAGAAACAATGCACAAATAAAATGACATTTTCAATATCATTCTTTGTTTCTAGTTGGTATCAAACTCACCAAAACCCTGAAAAAGCAGGTCCACATGCCTAGAGGATATAAATAAGGCAAGTTAATAATCAAAATAAAAACTTCTAAAATATACAATATGTTATATATGGAGGTAACATATGTGCTAGTTAAAGAACAGCACTTCTACAGGCTTGAATAGTAACTAATAATAAGCACCTATTGTCTCCATTTCTCATTGTCGTGAGGGGCTTCTTCAATACAGTTAGTGAAGAAAATAACAAGTATACATTTCCATCCCATAGATGTCTGGTGTTTAAGGCAAATAAGATAATCTACAATTTTTATGTACTGAAAAGCACTAAGCAGTTTAAAAAAAATATTCTTAGGTATAATAATGTCCGCATACTGGGAAGATAAAATATAAATCTAATCTAACTATTTACATAAGTAATTAAGAATAAAAAAAACAGTTTTTGAAAGGCAACTGATTTTATAATACCATGAGCTAAGAGTAGTGGTCTCCAGTGAGAGCTTCTCAGGATGGGAAGAGGAAGCACAGATTTATGGCTTGAGCTACTACCTCACCGAGCAGCAGTCAGGCTCAGCATCAGAAATATGCAACATTCCTAAAATGAAAAAACACGGGGATAAATTAGTATAAGAATACTTAAAGCTACAAATATGCATTGAAGATAATTAATAACATCAATTTATTTTTAATGTCATGATTCATAGCCTTTTTTTTCCTTTTTATTTTTCCATTCAATTATTTACACTTTCTTCCCTTCTCCCAATCCCCTCCCACTCCTCCACCCTCTCCTCCCTCCCCCTCCCTGCTAGAGAGAGGGCAGGGGACCCTACCCTGTGAGAGTCCAAGGCCCTCCACTCTACATCCAGGCCTAGGGAGCTTGTATCCATATAGACTAGGGTCCCCAATAGCCAGAACATGGCCTAAAAACAAGACCCAGTGCCTTTATCAATGGCTTCTCAGTCAGCTCCCATTGTCAGCCACAATCAGAGAGTCCAGTTTGATCACATGCTCATTCAGACCCCGTCAAGCTGGATTTGATGAACTCCCATTAGAACAAGCACACTGCCTCAGCTGGTGGACCAACCCCTCGCAGTCCTGACTTCCATGCTCGTCTTCTCCCTCCTTCTGCCTTTCAAGTGGGTCTTGGGAGTTCAGCCCGTTGCTCTGATGAGGATCTCTATCTCTATCTCCATCCATTGCCGGCCGAAGATTCTATGGTGATATTCGAGATAATCATCAGCGTGATAGTGGGGCAAGGACAGTTCAGGCACCCTCTCATCTGCTGTGCAAGGACCTAGCTGTGGAAATCCCCATGGACACCTGGGATCCCCTCTAGAGTCAAGTCTCTTGTCAGCCCTAAAATGGATCACTCTAATGTCTTGGGCATATATCCACGAGATGCCCAATCATACTACAAAAGCATTTGTTCGACTATGTTCATAGCAGCATTATTTGGAATAGCCAGAACCTGGAAACAACATAGATGACCCTCAATCGAAGAATGGATAAAGAAAGTGTGGAATATACACGCATTAGAGTACTACTCAGCGGTAAAAAGCAATGACATCTTGAATTTTGCATGCAAATGGATGGAAATAGAAAACACTATCCTGAGTGAGATAACCCAGACCCAAAAAGATGAATATGGTATGTACTCACTCATAAGTGGACTTTAGCCATAAACCAAGGTCATTAAGCCTATAGTTCACAAGCCCAGAGAAGCCAAATAACAAGGTGAACCCAAAGAAAGGCATATACGGATCCTCCTGGAAATTGAAAGCAAACAAGATTGCAAGGCAAAAATTGTGAGCATGGGTGTGGGGGCAGAGGTGGGAGTGAGGTTGGGGAAAAGGGGAGAGGGAGAGAGGGAAGGGAGAATGGAGAAGGGAAGGACTGGCAACAGCTTGGGGGAGTGGGAGGGTGGAGATGGAGGAAGGGCAGATATAGAAGCAGGGAAGAAGATAACTACATTAAGCAATTCATAGTCTTAAATCAGTAATTATCAAAGCTATTAGAGAATATGAGTAGCCCCATCCAAAGACAAGTATCTTACTTTTCATTCTAAGGACAAACTTATCTAAACTTCCCAAGGAACTGCCATTATATAGTCAACATTAACACAATATCAGATAAAGAAAAGTAGAAATGGAAGTGTGGAACTGTAGATCTGTTTCAAAACTTATGACAAATTAGTTTCACTGACGACATTTGGAAATAGTATATAGTTAAACTAGATAAGTGAAATAAAACTTTGTACCAAAGTAAGCACTTATATAGCATTTGTGTATATGATTATGGCTATGTGGGGATACAGCAATATATGCACAGGTGTACAGACGCTAGGTCAATATTGGATTTTTCATTAATCCAATTCTGCTTTTTTTGAGACAGTACCTATCACTGATCCTAGAGTTCAGAAGACTATCAGGCTGTCACATCAATTCTGGGATAACAGCAGCACACAATCATGCTCTGTTTGTCTATCTGTTTGTTTCTGTAAGTGCTAAGGAACCAACATGGTATCTTCCATGAAAAAGATAATAAAAGTCGGCAATCTTCCTAGTTTAAAACACTTACATTTAATGCCAATGAATCTCAAACACTTCTGAAATTTGAAGTAGACAAAGTAATTTGCAAAATTATGAGAACAATTTGAAACACTATGAAAATTGAATTCCTGACTCAACAGCGAACATAACAGATTAAAATTGGTCATATACCAACATATACATAAATTAGAGAATTGAACAGCAATAACTTATGAGTTAATTTTATAGAACTAATGAAAAATGATTAATAACATGAGGCAGAAATTATTGAAAGAAAAAACACATCATAATAAACATAAAATATGCATTTTGTAAAATGAATGATACACTCAAACAGGTAGGATGCCACAGATACTGGACTCTGGAGGAATGATGTTTGCCAGAGAGGTAAAGTGAAGGAAGGAAACTGAGAACAAAGGAAGCCAGTACGCACATGCGCCCTATGTGTTGGGGTACATTGCTACATGCCTCTTCAAGGACTTCCTCCACTACCTAAATTCCTCATTGTAATCACTGTCACGGATCAGGAATACCAACAATGTGATAACACAGAAAACAACTACCACTGTACAAAAAGAGTCAAAATATCAAGAGAAGCTTAAAAAAATCAACAATAGACCCTGACATAACTTACTGAAAAAGACAGCACAATCAGTAGAATGAAGTCTTTTCAGATTACATTGGATAAGTCCACTGAACTGATCAGGAAGCATAAAATATTCTACCATTCTAAATTTAAAGGAGTACTATAAGAACTATATAAGTAATACTCTTAATAGACATTTCTCCAAAGCAGTACTATGAGAATTGAAGAAGTAAAATTTCAAAACTAAATAGAAACACTGAGGACAGTAAAAACTGACAAAAGAATCATTATATTTATATATATATATATATTTATAATATATATTTGCATATTTTTATAATACACACATATTATACTTGTTAATATATGTATATATGTTTAATAAAATTATATACAATTTGGAAGATAATTTGCCCACCAGAAGCCATGGATATCTATCCAAAACTCCAGAGCAGTCAAGATAATACTACTTTCGAGTCATTGGTAAAGGGAGTCCAGCAAAACAGCACTTTATAGTCTATTGCACTTTGTTGCTTCCAAGAACGGGCAGCAAGGTTCCTATTGCTGAAATCACTGCATCTTAGATTTGGGTCTCTGAGAATTTGAACTGAAACCTCATAAAATCCTGGTCCCCGAGGACTAGCTTTCATTTTCATAGTCCAAGAAGTGGTTGTAAAAGCTGTTAGGGAGTCAAGTCATCAATTATCCAACACAGTTATGATGCACTTGAATGGCCATGACTTGCTTGGCAAAATATCACTAATGGTGCCCTCGTGCCCTGATATATATTCAATAACTAATACCTACATATTTGAACTTAAGGCCTGGGTAACAAGAGATATATGATGTCCCAAGCTATCATATAAGCCAGAGTTAGCCATAAGCCAGCTAACTTTATAAGGGTAGTGACTCCTTGAAACATAGAGAAATTTAGAGAACCACTTTCATAACTCATTATAAACTAACGTAACTATGAAGTCTTATTTTTATATGCACAGGTTAATGTAGGAATAGTAGATGGATCAGCAGGTTGTATTTGCACAAAAGTACATATATGTGTTTGTGCACATGTGTGTGTATACATGTTTGCATGTAGCAATAGTAATAATGAAGAGCAGTGGCTCTCAACCTTCCTAAGATTCTGGCACCTTAATTCATTTGCTCATGTTGTGGGGACCAACCCCTGCTATAAAATCATTTTGATTGCTACTTCATAAATGCAATTTTGATGATGTTCTGATTAATAATGTAAATACCTGTGTTTTCCAATGGTCTTAGGCAGCCCCTGTGAAAGGATCATTTGATCCTCAAATGGGTCATAACCCAGAGGTTGAGACCGGTTGATGAAGAGGTCATGAGTATGAGAATGGAAAGCTGAATACACAGAATGCATTGGAGAGACAGAGATGAAAAATTATGTATTACTTACCCTACTCTCTTATAAAATTCTCAATTTTCTTAGACAAAAATATGGTAAGGAGACCTCAAATGTAGGGTTTCAGCAGAAGAAAGAGTAGAATAAGATAGGAGAATTAAGATAAAAATGACTAAAATTGTTTATGTAAATGCATAAAAATTATTTATTAAGAAAGCTAAATAAATGAAAACAAAGCACTGCAAATTGATCATATACAGATCTGACATTTAATGGATTTGAATTAAAAAATATATATGTAGAACTCTGAAATGGTTCAGTATTTTCCCAATGGTTATAAAAGAGAAGATTCTGTATGGTTATGGGCCAAGGCCAGTTCAGGTACCCTCTCCTCTGTCCAGAGAACAATCTGGCGATCTCTCCTTGGACCTGGGATCCCCTTTATAATCAAGTCTCTTGTAAACCCTAAAATGGCTCCCTTAGTTGAGATATATACTTACCTGATCCCATATCCATCCTTCCTACCCCCGCATCCCAATCCCCATTCCTCCCCTACTCCCTTCTCTCTAACACTCTCCCCTTCAAACAACCCCCCACGCCCCCCATGCACCCGCGGTTGCCTGGCACTCTTGTCTACTTCCAATCTCCAGGAGGATAACTATATGATTTTCTTCAGGTTCACCTTCTTATTTAGCTTCTCTAGGCAGAACCTTCATCTGGCGATGGATGGAGATAGAGACAGAGACCCACATTGGAACACTGGACTTAACTCCCTAGGTCCAAACGAGAAGCAGAAGGAAAGAGAACGTGAGCAAAGAAGGCAAGACCAGAGGGAGCCTTCATCCAACGATGGATGGCGATACAGATGGAGATCCACATTGGAGCACCGGACTGAGCCCCCCAAGGTCCAAATGAGGAGCAGAAGGAGGGAGAACATGAACAAGAAAGGCAGGACCGTGAGGAGTGCGTTCACCCACTGATACAAGGGGACCGATCTAATGAGAGTTCACCAAGGCCAGTTGGACTGGGACTGAACGAGCACGTGATCCAACCAGATTCTCTGAATGTCGCTGGCATGGGGTCTTTCTGAAAAGCCATTGACAATGACACTGGGACTTGTTTCCTCTGCATATACTGGATTTTTGGGATCCAGTCTGTTTGGATGCTCACCTTCCTGGACCTGGAGGGAGGGGGGAGGAACTTGAACTTCCCACAGGGCAGGAAACCCTGACTGCTCTTAGGGATGGAGAGGAAGGAGGAGAGGGAGTGGTGGGAATGAGAAGGTATTGGGAGGAGGGGCGAAAATGGAAACTTTTATAAATTAATAAACTTTTATAAATAAAAAAAGATAAAAAGTTGTATGTATAAACATAAGTGTGTATATGTATGTTTTGTGCATAAATGTATATAGGCGGATACACGTTGCCTAAAATTTTAAGCTTACTTTTGGTATTTGGTTCAAGCTAAGTGAACCTGATGTTGGAGTGAGTGATTTAATCAAGGACGTACCTCACAGCAGTTCCAGCGACAGGATCTCTTGTTAACACTGAGGACAGGCTAGCATGGTAGTCCTGGTGCTTGAAGAATAAAATCTCATTGAGATCCTGCTGATTTTGAGGGCTGCCACACTTCTCCGAGGACAGTGGCTTGGAGTGCTCTGCCCCTTAATAGAAAATATCACTCAGCAAGCTGCTCTCTCCAATAATTTTTATAGCAAAGCATAACACTTTTCCAGCAAGGTCAGAAATGTCAGTAAAAAGGTCCAAATGGACTTGCCTACTTTTCTCAATTTTTAAAAAAAAAGAGAAAATTCAGGTGGATTCTACTTTACCGAACATTGACTGGATGGTGATCTCAGGCAAATTATTCAAGAAAGAAAACAGTAGGTCAACATTCTGCCTATTACCTATGACAAGAAAGACAGAAGTTCTAGTGAGAAAGAAATATCAGAAAATGCAAAAATATATGCAGGTTTTAAAATATATGGCCAGCAAATCTGAAAATACATGAGTATAAAATTTAGCTGAATTTACACATAAAAAAATTAACAATGGAAAATGAAAGGCAGAAAATACTTCTTACAATACCACCATCTTGGTGTGTGGTTTGTATCTTCAGTGAAAGATACACAGGAGACAGGCGAGAAGTCCCTCCTCTGTGCCTGAGTCTGAGATTATCATGAGCAGCATGGTGAGACCCTGCATCAACATAAAATAAAAAATCACATGTTTAGAAATAATAATTGTAAAGTATGTATACTTAAGCAGTAAATCATTTTCATATGATTGGTGAGATCACTATAACGTTTAGAGAATCCCAAATTCCTAGACAAGAAATCTTAGCATTATTATGAGTTAAACCTGAACAAGGAATACATCTTTTCTGATGCTAAACCCTATTTTTCTCAGTTGGTCCTTATCTTTGAAAACTATTTTTATTCAGTATCAATATATCAATATTGAGTTTTGGAAAATCCATCCAACATTTCCTAATCAAAAATTTCCTCTTTTAATCCTACTATCATCATATCATCATTTTATTGCATTTTCATGTATTCTCTCTCTTTTTTATACCAATTCCATTTGTATGTGTGTGCATGACTATGGGACAACTTACTAGAAAATGAACAGCCTCCCACTCAATGTCCCTAAAGGAATCTGACTACCTCGTGTCTTAGAAGGCAATCAAGTGTTAATATACCCTCAGAGGTGGAACTTCATTAGGTCTTCCTTCGGCCATGGTGGGACACTGGTTGGATATTGTACAAGCCTTGTTTGTGTATGAAGTCTTAGCTTTTGAGAGTTCATCTGTTCAGCATTTCTTCCACCAACACAAATAATGTTATGATGCAGACGTCTACTTCCTCTGGCTCATTTGAGACCGTGTATCTCAGTTCAGTTAACAGCAAACATCTAAGTAGTATACCTGGCTGGCTGACAACATCCAGTGATCAGACTATCATTTCTCATGTCCTGGAAATGATTGCCCAAACCATTACACCTGTCTTTTTATATGTATATTGAATAAAAATGAAACTCGGGCATTCATATCTGTAATGCAAGCACTTTTCTGACTGAGCCACCTCCCCAGATCTACACTGACATAAAAATGAGAAATACTATACTGACTATTATATAAAAAGTAAAATGCTGGTCACTCTATGGAAATCTCCAACCTTTTCCCACAACATCTCTGCTACTCCCCTCTAAGATCCTCCTATGTTCCCGCTTTACTGTTCTGAACGCTAGACTGAAATCTAAGGAAAGGGAGAAGTGTTTGTGTTGTTCCCCCGTTAGTCCCAATATATACATACATACATATATATATATATATATATATATATATATATATATATATACACACACACAATAAAACAAGAGCAACACAACTCACTCTACCATACATTAAACCTGTGGACCAATATTTTGTCAAAACTTCCACCTAGCTTCATTCACTTCTACAGTGAAGTCCATTTCAGAACACAATTGTGGTCTTAAAGTGAAAATGAGAGTCTCCTATTTCATTCAGCTTTGTATTTGGTCAGCACCTCACGACCACGGTATGCAAATATAAACAGTGCAGCTCACCATGCTGCATAAATTCTAGAGAAACTTCCTTAATTTACCAACTTTCCTCAAAGGTCATAATTTTCAAAAGCTTAGCCCTTACCAGGATATTGGTGGCCTGATGGTATAAACCATTATTCAAATAGTTTATTATTATATTTATGGTTAGTAAAACAGACTTAAACACGAGCAATGGAGAAAATTTATGTTCGATATAGTTAGATATGCTAAACCTAGCAAAAAAAAAAGAGCTAGTAAAGTCATAAACCCTGCAAGAAAACCTACTCTTGTCAATTTTCTAAACCAGTATAATTTCTAATTGCATTTTCAATAGCTATTCTTAGACCAACTGATAAGTGTAACTCTCACCCTCAGCAAAGAAGTTTCATTTTGTGACAGATTGAAACTATTACAGAAGTACACAACTGGTCAAAAGAAACAGAGCAACTAACAGTGAGGTGACAAATCTTAGTTGCGAAATCAAAAAAAAAAAAAAAGTCATTCTGAACCCAAGATGAACTCAAGACATAGAGAACATTGCAGAAGGGGGTCAGAATGACTCACATCCAGTGAAATGGGCTGTCTGCTATGAGAAACAATCTTCTACATAAAGTCTGGAAACCATTCCCATGAAATGTCAGCAATAAGGATACCAAAAGCAAATCAGCATCATCACTACACAAGGTAATATTCCAATGTGTACTATAAAAAAAAGATTAAAAGGTGAGTTCAAGGCCAGCCTGGTCTACCAGAGTTAGTTCTAGGACAGGCACCAAAGCTACTGAGAAACCCTGTCTCTAAAAACAAAAACAACAACCACAAAAAAAGATAGATTATTAAATCTACTCTGAAAAGAAAAAGAGTAAGATATATATCTGAAAAAGAAAAGGTAGATAATCAAATCTACTTAAAAAAACAACTACTAGTTTTAAATATTTTACTTTGTATTGGACTTTTGTAAATTGCATAAATTGTATATTGACACAGATTTGAGATAAATTTTGTTAAGACATAAAAAAATCACAAGGTCCCACACTTAAGAGCAACAAGGAATTAGCGAATGATAAAAGAGGGATAATTAGTCTTCTCCAGTGAGTGAACTGTTAATAGGTACTCTGATCACAGTGACTATTTGGGACCCTGTTGGGAGTCACCATATAATGCAAGAGTCAACATTCCGGGTGGATATCTTTCACCATCAAATAAAACCTCAAGTGTCAGGAACTGGTTATTTTTGTTGAGTTTTTGGCTAATGGGATACCAAAAACGCTTGTGCAAACATCATTAGCTTAACATGAACTTAACAGTTGCTAGCTAGATATCCATAATGACATGTATGTAGCAATAATAATTAAATGAAGAGGTCATGAACTGAGAGCTAGTTGGACAGACACTGAAAGAGCCAGTGATGTGTGTAAATTATCTGAATATAGTACTTATAGATGAACATTTCAAAAAAAATTTAGACGCTTCCTATATATATAGAAGGAATACAAAGGTAGCCACCATAAAATAGAGGAGGCAATATTCCAACTAGATATCTTATGAGTTTTGACCAACAGTGATCCTATAGATACTGCCAAGAAAGCTATTGCCAAGGATATTTGGTTATTCTCTAAACCTGAAGGTAGTGCCACAATTATGATGATAGATACTACTTACTTATGTCATCAAACATGGAGAAATTGAGCTGATGCCCAACTAGAAGCTTCATCCTTAATGTTCATGGAGCTGGAAGGTACTCTGCATGCTAGGGGAGGAACAAACAAACAACCATTATCACTCAGTGATAAACTTTGCAACCTACAATCCTGACATGCCTGCAAAATATACAGGTGTAATCGTGGCACCAATATTATTGGAGTAATCGCGCCCCTGCGATTGGACTTCTAGCCCACTCCATAGAACAAACCCCATACCTGACACTGTTAATATCTTACAAGAACCTCAGAATAGATAGATCATGGACCTTGGGGGAACCAATATTATCCTGCAAAAGGAACAAAACAGTAAAATGATTCCAAATGTAATATTGCTATACCCATAGAACATATAGATCAGTGCATTACTTAACTCTCATCAGAGGAGCTTCTTCTTGTAGTAGATAAGAAATGACCCAGAGACCCACAATGGGGCAATAGACAGAGAGTGAGACTTTGGAGCACTTCATCCTGCATGAGATCTCTTCATCAGCCATCTCTTCTCCAGTCTTGTGGATCTAAGGTTAAGGAGAAGTGGAAAGACCTTAAGAGCAAAAAACAGGATGATGGCTCCAAGGAAAAAGTCTCTTCCACACACAACAGGAACAATAAACATTTGATCTTACAGAAACTGGTACAGTACACACAAGACTTCACAGGTTCAAAACAGGCAAAAATCTCAGCAGCAATCAGGGAAAATGGAAATAAAGTTCTACATGTAACAAAAGATATGTGCAGTTGATACATAGTGGCAAAAGCAAAAACATGTTTTTTGTCTTTTCCAATTAAGTATCACAGGGCAGTCTGCATTTTACAAAGTAATTACAGAAGACAAGATGGTCAGGGATGTTCTCCTTGAGGATTTTTGTGAGCTTTTTGTTTTATTTTGTTGTTGTTATTTGGTTTGATTGTTGTTTTGGTTTTGTTTTTTTTTCCTAATGGTTTTTGCTTGTTTTGATTTTCTTTTTGTTTTGCTTTTAGGGTTAGAAGATAGAAAAAGACCACAAAGTTTACTGGGTAGGTGAACTGGGAAGGATCTGGGAGAAGTTTGGGGAGGGAAAGGGATATGATGAAAATATATTCTATAAAAACACAAATGAAAATCCATTTAAAAAATTATATATGATAATACAGCCTAAACATGTCTATATAAGGAAAAGATTATATACTATGAAAAGGATAATGTGAAACAAATAGTAAGTTTAGTTTAAAATGCAGGAAATGTTCATGAAGAGAGCATCCTTAACAGAAGACTGGATAAATACTGTATGATTATATCTGGGTATACAGAGAAAAAACTTTGAGATTCCCTAAATGTCTTTATGATTTGAAGAAAAACACTTAAACAGAAGTTATGAAAAAGAAATTCCATATGCTTAAGTATCTATACAAAGTGAGCAGCTATTAAAATAACCCAGTATTTGAGCAATTTTAAAAATAAAGCAATGATACCCACTTCCATGAAAGTGGACATTTTTTTAGGAAATCTTTCTCAAATCTCTCATTAAAAAGTTTCTTCTCTCTCTTCCTCTCTAACACACACACACACACACACACACACACACACACACACTTTATATGTATATATATACACATATATGTATGAACACACAAATATATGTGGGCATGAATATATATATATATATTATATATATACGTATCAAGAAGAGAGACTCACAATTGGCCAATATGCACAGTGTGAAAGACTTTGGAACACTCCATCCTAAATTATATGGCTCTTAGAACTCCACTCAGGGCTTAAGTTATGAGGAAGAGGAGGGAGAAAGAATCTATGTGCCAGAGATAATGAATGAATAGTGTCTTCTCAAAATAACGGTAGTAATATACATATGAACTCACAGAAATTGTGGTAGCCTCCACAGGACAGGGCAAGCACAGGTTAAAAGCTTTACAAGGCCCCCGTGCTGAGAGGAGGAGACATGGTGCTAAGAGGAGTTCTGGACACAGAAGTAGGCTCCTATCACTAACCAAGGGGCTATCTTTGTTTGACAACCACTTGCAATGCAGTAATTGGTTATTTCCAATGGAGTTTTAATGGTATATGGGCTATACTTAGTCCATTCCAAGAAGTATATGAACAATCAAAATGAACTCAGTGGTATATTCTATGATGAGCACAAAATGAACTCAATGGTATTTTGTAGACATTTTTGTCTCATATTACTTTATTTGGACTTTTTTTATTTTATGGGCCCTTTGTTGATATATATGGTTTCTAACTTTGTATTTTTATGTATTTTGCAATCTCTCTCTCTCTCTCTCTCTCTCTCTCTCTCTCTCTCTCTTTCTCTCTCTCTGTGTGTGTGTGTGTTTCTTGTAAGTTTTTTCTTCTTTATTACGGTTTATTTTATTATTACTCTTGGTTGCTCATTTATTGTTTTCTAAAGGGAGAGAGAGGTAAGAGAAGCTAGGAATATAAGGAGGATTTGGGGAGGAGAAACCATGATCATAATATATTAAAAAATGTTTTTTAAGTAAAGAAATAAACTTCATGTGTAGTCAAAACAGTAAAAATTGGAACAAAGATACATAGCAAATAATACCAGTTAAGAAATTTTTAAAAATAACGTGCAGACTCCAAAAGTTCAGTGAACCAAAAACAGGGTTTAATTTAATATAACAATGTTTACCAATGAGAGATAGAGAATGGGGAGGCAATCCTGAGCATCAGAGTAGTTAGCCTGCACACACTGCTAGGGAGCAGGATACACTCAGTACCTTTTTCTCTTACCATCTTCTCTAGTCTACTGAAGGTTTCTCATTGTCACTTCAAGCATTATTAATTTCTAACATCGAAAAGCAACAACCACCATAAAATGGAAACTACAAGCACCAACAATAACAGAGAATCCCGAGCACACAACTCAATCCATGAAATAAGACATTTGAAAATCACACAGATGAGAGCAAACAACTACTCTGAATACATTAACTGCTTTAGCACTGTAAAGTTACAAGAGGAATGTCTTACCTACCTAAATAATTCCCTGAAGAGACGTGTCTCCAAAGTAGTTTTACAAAGACACAAAAAGAGAATAAAAACAAATCAATATTGTTTAGCCTTAGGGAAGCACAAATCTAAACAGTCTTGAGATAGAAAAAACAACTCTAGAGGCATACAGCTATGTGAAGTAAACTGGGGAAATACCTTTCAGAAGAGCAATTGAAGAATAAAGGTTGAAATATCAAGTCAGAGAACAATGTATTCTGAGGCTTTCTCATATGTTTTTTGTTTTGCTTTGTTTTAGAATTTCATGTGTGGGAACTGTACTCATATTGTATGTAGCCTTCCCTCTGTCTCTCAACTTCTTTGATGCACCCCCCCACTCTCAGAAAAACTCATGACCTCATCTCCAGGGTGAATACACTTAATAGCAAAACCTGATCTCGAATACTTAACCCATGCACCACTCACTTGTGTCTGTGCTGGGGAAGATAGATTGAAATTCACGAAGTATGTTTTCCTGAAGGCTCAGTTGGTCAGGTTCCCTTCAGGCTCCTATGAAGGTTTGGAGTTTATTTCCATGTTGAATTGTGATGATTCACTAGAAAAAAATCAGGAGAAATAGTTTGCTTTTATTTACAGTTCCAAATTACATTCCATCATTAGAGAACTCACAGTGTCAGGCAAGGGCGTGAGGCAACCGATCTCATCGAATCCATGGGAAAGAAGCAGAGAGCTTGTCCATTTGTTTTCTAGAGAGAGAAAGAAAAATGGTATGAAGTTGGGTGGGTTAAAAATGGAGAGAGAAAGAGTTTGGTAGAAGATGGGGGAAGGGAAACAATGATCAGAACATATTCAATCAAAAATTATTTTCAATATGAAAAGGAGTGAGTAATAAATTCATTTATACTAATGCTTAGTTTGCTTTCATTTTACACAATCTAGGGTCTCCTGCCTAGAGGATGTTCCTACCTACAATTAAGATGGTCCTTTGAATAACAACTAATATAACCAAGATAAGACCTCACAGATATTTTTCGAAGGGTTTGTCTCCCAAATGATTTCAGATTCAGTCAAGTCAACAATTAACACTGAACCATCACAATGAGAATATACAGTGTTCATATTTTAATGTAGAAAGTATTTTTAGAAAACACAATAATTTTCCTTTACAAACTTTTGATAAACAAAACACAGACTAAAGGCTTTCAACAAGGTTTTAAACAATGCCAGTGTCACCTAATAACAAAATGCCACACATACAACATAACATTACAGACAAATTTGAAATAAGAACACAGAAAGGAGACTGAAAGAACAGATCAATAGTTAAGAGCACCAACTGCTCTTCCAGAGAACCAAGGTTTGCTTCCCAACACCCACATTGTAACTCACAAATATCTATAACTCCAGGTCCAAGAGATGTCACACCATTTTCTGACCTCTGAAGACACCAGGCAGGTACTCAAAGACGTACCTGTCAACAAAATGTGCACAAACATAAAATTAAAAATAAATTTAAAAAAATACAAAGGAAAAATACTGTTCCAACAAAGATGTCCAAAGAGGAGCAAGAGTAAACATGGAAACAATGGGTACATGAGTCACAAATATTCAGTTAAGATATAGAAGATAGCCGGGCAATGGTGCTGCAAGCCTTTAATCCCAGGACTCAGGAGGCAGAGGCAGGCAGATCTCTGTGAGTTCGAGGCCAGCCTGGTCTACAAGAACGAGTTCCAGGATAGGCTTCAAAGCTACAGAGAAACCCTGTCTCAAAAAACCAAAAAAAAAAAGATAGTTAATGTGTTATACCACACACATATAAATTGATTTTAAAAATGAGCAGTTATCTTAATGGCAGAGGAAATATTTCACAAATCCAACACTGATTCACAATAAAACACTTCGCACATTATGTAGAAAATAGAATTTGTTAGGGCAAAATGGCATTAGAAAAAAAATCACACACATGACTATATCTTCAAAGGCTCACGTTTTCAGATAAAAAGATTAACAGGTGTGCACTCCCTGTATGTCTCTACCCAACATGTGTTTCAAGGCTACCCACATGTGACACACACACACTAAATAAAATATCAATAAGAAAAAAAAAACGGAAGACATGTTTTTCAATCTACCACTTAGGTCCTGAAGTGAAACTTTTTTTTTAACATTTAAGTGAAAGACATAGAATCATATGTTTTAATAAAAAGGTTTTGTTCGAGGTTAGAAATAAAACAAACTAAACGGGGGAAACTCCCCAGGCAATAAAGTGTTTGCTTCAACAGCATTGTAGAACTGCTCTCAGTACCTATAATCTATATATTAAAAAAGCATTATCAATGACAATAAAATATAAGCATATGCATTTATAATTTATAACATGCGAAGTCAAGACACCCATATCCCTGAAGCTCCTCAGCTGGTAAACCAGTCTCATCTATGAGATGTGGGTCCCAGTGAGACACTCTGTCAAAACAAACAAGTAAAAGCAACAAGGTGGCTATGTCTAGTGAAATGACTCAAAAGTTAGGAGCACTAGTTGCTTTTCCAGAATACCTAGTTTCAATTCCCAGGAATGATGCGGTATCTCAGGCATCAGTGACTCTCTTTTTAGGAGAAACAGTGCCCTCTTCTGGCCTCAGCAGGTACCTGGCACAAAAGAGTTGCATACACATATATTGGCAAAATAGCTGTTTACATAAAGTAAAATCTATTAAATTTAAAACAAAAACAAGGAGTCTGCCACTTGAAAAACAATACCTTAGGTTAATCTCTGATGTCTACTGGTACATGAACACATGTTGGTCATGAAGACTCACAGAAACACACAGACACGCGCAAAGAAAAAGGAACAAAACTTACTACTCCAAAGAAAATAAATGAGACAAAGATGCCAAGACTTAGCATTCCTACTGTACTTAGTACTGAAGCTTGCCATCAGGGTAATCCATGAGAAAAACAAATATTAGGTATGCTTATCTCTTCTATGTCTTCTCCACATCACAGTTGAGATAAACTGCATCTGTTTGCAAAGGACATATTATTCTGATCAAAGGAAAATCTGGGTGCTGGAAGATGGCTCAGCAGCTAAAAGCACTTCACACTCATGCAGCCAAACCAAGTTTCAGGCCTAGCACTCCCAGCAGGCAGCTTAAATCTAGATCTAATTCTATCTCCAGGAGATCAGGTCCCCTCTTCTGACCTTTGACTCAATGCACACCTGTGTTCACATCCTCACACATGAAATACAGAAACATGCACATAAATAAAAAGCAACCAAAAAGAGAGTAAGAGACCACATCCACAAACATAGTGTTAGAAATAAAAAAAATGAGTTCATTGAAAAACATCAGTGCACATGATAACATAAAATTTCAATTGGATTTCATACGTAAAAATTAAGAGCTGGAAAATGAAAGTCAGGTAGCAATTAGATTTACCGCTCCATCACCGAGGTATGGCCGTCTGTGTCCACAGCCCATGCCGTTGTAGGATAGGAGCAGCATTTCTGCAGAGTATGAGAAGAGCAGCAATTACACAGTGAGGCATTATTTTTTTTCTTGTTTTATATTGTTTTATGTTTACAGAAGCAATAGTAATAAACAAAATAACATAGAAAATAGAATATTTAGCAATAAAAATGTTCAATGAAAGGAAAGCAGAGAAAAGAGGAGAGTTGGACACAGAAAAGTAAGAGAAAATAAAGAAACTAAATGAATACTAATAGGCTATGTACACTTAAAGCTATATTTTGTGGAAAAAATAAAATAGGACTATACAAATTTTAAATTTACCCAGGTCCATTAATTATAAAGCTAAATATTGTTAATATAACAGCAATTTCCAGGGGAGTTCAAATTAAGTAAAGGTCCAATCCAAACCCTAGATACTTTACTGTTTTCACTGGAATGTATACTACAGTGCTTACATTTTTATGGAAATGCACACAGGTATCCTGTACATTTAGAACAATCCTGAAAACAAAAGAAATGTGAACTGCTTGACACATACTCTTTCTTTTCAAAACCTGTGACAAACAGGTAGTGGTTACAACATTTTGGTACTGTTTATGGTCAGATTTGTAGATTAGTGATATAAAATTCAGCACTCAAAATTAGTACTATTTTTCTAATCAACCAACATGTTGTCAGAGGATGCCCAGCAGACAGAAGAACTTATCCTGTGGAACTTCTGCGGACATACCTGATAGGATGGCACATACTTGCTAGCTGTGTCTCCTCATATCCTCCCCTGTATTACTTCACTTCTCCCATATTCTTCCTGGGATAAACTATAAACTAAAATGAATTATTAACACCTAAAATATCAGCAACAAAACAAACAAAAGTGATAACAGAAACAAAATATAGAGTGAAAAAGGAAAATACAGCTCAATCAAAGAATAATCTTTAAAGAATTGACATAATCTTTAAATAGCTGACATAGATGTATTTTCCTGAATATATAAAATATATTGGAACTCAGAAGTTAAAAGAGAAATATTCTAATAAAAAATAAGTATTTAAAAAGCCATTTCTCCATAGTAGTTATAGGAATATCCTATAAGCGTATTAAAAACTTCCAGTACTTTCCACTCTTAGCAATTACTTAATAACCATGAAATGCACTTTATAATACAAAAGGCATAGTATTAAATAATATAGTCAAAAATCAGAATCAATTGGAGAAACTCAGAATACTGTATAAGCTCATGTATGTGACACTGTGAAAAGGGGGAGGTGAGGAGGTGAGGAACGAATACAATTATCAGTAACTACAATGTGCTAGGGCTAACAGTCATGATGAATAGGTGAGATGCACACAATTTTTATGTGGCAGTGAAAATAATTTGCATGGTATGGTTTTGGAAAATCTACACAGTTTATAGCATAAAAGATAAGCCTACACTCTCTTTAAATTAAACAGTAAGTTGACTTTTCCTAAGGAGTAATATGGGAGGAACAATATAACTCTTTTATGATTCCATGAGAGATCCTGATTTCTGAATGTAGTGGAGAAAGGGGATCCAGGCAGCATAGGAAGTAAGTGAAGATTCCACCCCCAAAAGGGAGTTGCCTGAGAACACTGTATTTAGTTAATAATTATTGCCTCCTCAGTATGAACTTCTGATTCTGCAACCACTGCATGTATCTTTAGGTTGATATTTCAAGTAAATGAATACAGAGGTTATGTATAATTAAAGGAAATGGGTAGGCTATTCATATTCTACTGAATTTGATCAGACATGAGGTCACATTTTTACATAGTTGTGGATATAAATGCCCTTAGTGTAAAATTTTTCTTCTCTAATAGAATCTTCATCAAAAGAAACTGTTAATCTATACAGAAATGATGGATCTTAGGCTTTGGCAGAGAACAAACACAATTAGTATAGGTTCCCTTATAGCATCAGGAATTCAAACACAGTCTAAATGCTAGAATACAAGTTAGAAAAAAAAAGATCTAAATTAGTATATGATTTTTTTTCATCCTATGAAATCCAAAAGGAATACTTTAACTCAAATAGCATATTTTAGAAACCAAATTAAACAACGAGAATGGAGCTTTTCAAGGGAATACTGATTGTTTGACAAGTTGCATAACAGAAACATGCAAAAATAACAAGATACACACCAAACCCCAAAGCACAACCTTTGCTTTAGGACATGCAAAAATGGATCATTTAAATCACCAAATATTATTCTTAAGCAACATTAAAGAAAGGCATACCAATATCTGGCAATTCCTTTTGTTTGCAAAAAAATTTTTGAGAATAATCGAACAATAAAAACACAGTTTCTCACCGTATTGCTTGATAAGGGAAACAGAAGAGAAATATGAAAGAAGAAAAACGTCAAATTTCATGTTACGATTTCGAGGCACACGAAAAATCACGAAGATGTTCTGAGTACACCGCATAGTACAAAGCAAGGGATAGCAAACGGCAATGGAGAATCTGGACCTATGCTAAGAGTCCAGGGAAGAGTGCCCATGACGCAGTCCCTTTCCACCCACCCTATTACAGCGAATCCCTCTTCAGAATCTGGATGCCCACGACGGGTCGGGTCGCAGACCGCACCGCGGATCTCAAGGCTTACCTCCTGCCAAAGCTTTCATCCTGAAGAGAGGCCGACCTTGTTAGCTTGGGACCCTCCATTTTTTTCTCTGCGCAGCTGCAGGACCCTGCCCATCCTCAGCTTCCCAGCAGGCTGTTCGCAGCCTCCACCTAGTGGACACTGGGTGACAATGTAAGCTGTCAGACTGAATTTCTGATATGGAGAATTTACCTAAGCCCGAAAATATAAGCAAACTAATTAAAAAACAAAACAGAAAACAAAAACAAAAACCAACTGTTCTTGGTGGGTGGAGGACTGAAAAACGGCGAAAGGCGGACAGAAGCAATCATGTTCCACAAGCCTGCTAGCTCACGTTGTCAGCAGCAAGTCCATACAGCTCAGTCCCCACCTAAAGCCAACCCTCCAGGAACTAGCCTAGCAAACAGCTTTCTATTCCCTTCTCACACAGAGACATCTTTGATTAGAGGATATTTTAAGGAATAACCCCAATGATAAATAAATTTCAAAATTCATTAGCACAAGAAGCAAATCTGGGAGCTACATCCACATTTTCTTACCTGCTTCCTGTCACCTGTCTGGTCTCCTAACTTGGCCTTTCGTGGCTCTGCATGGTCACCAGAGTTGTTCTCTTGCAACTCTATTGACCTCTTTTCTCCTGACCTGATGCCACCCCCGTCCTTGCCTGACTCACTTGCCCTTCTTCAGCGCACCCTCACGTTTTTCTCATTCTACCTCGCTCTGATGCTATTCTCTGGGTTCCCATGAAGCTCTTCCCCACCCCTGCATTTTAGATTCAACTTTGATATATCCTTTCAAAAAGGAAATCCCAGACAACATAAAATCTGCGCTCACAGTTGCCCTCCTAAGTCCACACATGTAGCGGGAAAATGGGACATGGATTCTTCTTTATACTGGAGTCACACAGGAATTAATTACTGTCTTAAACTCCTCACCTATATTCTACCTGGTTTCCAATAAAAACAAAGCTTTGATTTAAGGGTTCGAGGTTGAAGACTAACATTTTGTCTTGCCACTTGTGGTCTCAAGTTAAGACAGCTTCTGATTTCCAGCTTAAATCTTTTGTCTGACTACCCTTTATCAAGCCCTGGTAAGCAGTCTCCCAATAAGGGTTCTTACAACATCTATATTTCTTCTGGTTTAACTGTCTCTCTTAAGTCCTTATTCAGTATCCAGATCTACTGACCTGTCTCTCTAGATAAATATTTTCACATCTTTATTAGTTCCACGTTTGGCCAGTATCTTTCGGTGCAATTTGCTTTTAAATCGTGTAACATTTTGGCCTGTTTGCAACATGTTGTGAACTTCACTATGTGCTCGTGAATGAATGGTTCCTGAAACGTCTATTAGATTCTATATACATTGATAGATCACGTCTATGGAAACTTGTAGATTATGTATCCAGGAAAGGGGGACATCACATAGAGGTTGATGGAACATAGGAAAAATCTGAATAATGCCCCTCTCACCATAGTTTTGCATGCGTTTATCTCCCTGCTTCACTTGACTTTTAAAATGGACAACTTTTGGCATGGCTTGTAATCTCAGTCCTTGGAAGGGAGAGGTAGAGAGGAAGATTCAAGGCTTTGCTCAGGACCCAGTGAGAGACTCTGTCTCAAAAGCAAGGTCTACATCTCCTGAGTAAGAACAATTGATGACGATATCCACATTCACACATGCACACACGTAGATAGATCCACACGGAGATAGATATAGTATGATGGATAGTCTTGGTTATCAATTTGAAATCATCTGGAATTAATTAAAACCCAAAATTAATGACAAGCCTGTTAAGAATTTCTGTTTAATCTGAAGTAGGAAGATCCACTTATAATACAGATCTTTAAAGTAGAAAGACACACCTTTAATACTGATCATTTGACTTGAGAAAAGTTACTTTTAATCTGGGCCACACTTTCTGCTGGAAGCTTATGTAAGGACATTGGAGGAGGAAGCTTTTGTTCTTTGACTGCTTCCTTTCACCTTGATAGCAAGTCCAATCCTTCATTGGCATTCAGGATTTCAGCCTATACTGAAGACCAGCCAAGACAGTCTCAGGAACTGAGCAACTACGGATTCATGGACATTCCATTCATAACCACCTGTTACTGGGTTAGCTGGACCAAAGCCTGTGAACCATTCTAATATATTAGATAGACAGGCAGACAGGCAGACAGACAGATGGATAGATAGATAGATAGATAGATAGATAGATAGATAGATAGATAGATAGATAGATAGATAGAGATATAGATAGATAGATGGAGAGAGATTTATTCTATAATTTCTGTTATTCCAGAGAGCCCTGACTAATACAGATAGACAGATATATAATAGGTTATGATATATAGATGATTGATATACCTATAGGTAGATGATAGAAAGATAGATCTGTCAATTAATGTGAATAATATGTTTTCAGAGAAGAATTCACTAGTGAAGTCTTTGCCTGGATATCCAAGGTTTATTAACAAAGAAGGGATAATGGGAAGAATGGGAGGGAGAGAGGAACGAGGGAGAGAGAGAAAAGATTTGAATAATGATAATACATTGCGTTATATATCTGAAGTTCCATGTATTTGAGAAAATGAGACAGGAAGATCAACCTAAGCCCAGGCATTTGATTCCAGCCTATATAGCACAGCTACATATTGAAAGTTTGCCTCAATAATGAATAAACACATATAAAATAAATCAAAGCAATGAATCCTCCTATACTCATAATTTATATACTATAATTATCAGTATTATGATAGATATATACGATTTTTTTCTTTACTGAGCTATTTAAGGCAGATTCCAGATATATTGGAGTTATATCATTTTATCACTACATATTTCATCATTCATCTCTAAATCAGTCATTTCCTCGCTTAAACACAAAGAGAAATTATGGCCTATGACTGAACAATTTTGATCTGATATCAGTAACTTTCCAAAAAATATCTTTTTATTGCTGTTGCTCTTGAATTGGAATTCAAAGGAGGTCACATATTGCTTCTTAAGTGGATGTGAAGCTTCTCCCCACATATCTTTTCATTTTATTTTAATTTTAAAAAAGAAAATAAACTATCATTTGTATTTTACATATTAATCCCAGTTCCCACTCCCTCCCATTTTCACTCCCCACCCACTCCTCAGAAAGAGTAAGGCGCATTGCTCTGGGAAAGGTCCAAGGCCCCCCTACCTTATCTTGGCTGAGCAAGGTATTCATACAAAAAGAATGAATTACCAAAAAAGTCAGTACAAGCAGTAGGGGTAAATGCTGGTGCCACTACCATTGGCACCGCAGTCTGCCCTAGCTATACAACTGTCACTCACATTCAGAGAGTCTACTTTTGTCCTATGTTGGTTCCTTCCCTGTCTGACTGGAATTGGTGAGCTCCCATTAGCTCAGGTAAGCTGTTTCATTGGTGTCCCATTACAACCTAAAAAAGGATATGCCACCCACATTTTAAGACAGAATCTCATGTAACTCAGGTTGACCTACAATTAAGGTTACCAACATATACAGCTCATTTCTAAGACTTTTTTTGGAGTCTCTTCATTACTCATTATCCCCTATTTCTCAATCCTCTTTGTTTCCAGACATCACTGATGTATTGCCTAAAAAGGAAGTTCCTTGGAATTGATTGACTGGGATAAGGTGATAGCTAAGTTGGTGACATCTTGCCATATAAGTATATGGAACTTAGTTCAATCTCCATAGTCCATGCAAAAAGCCAGGCACTGTGGCATACACTGGTAATCCTAGTACAAGAAAGGCAGAGAACCGAGGAGTGGAGGATTGCTGGTTATCCAGAATAGCTGAATTCTGAGCTCTATATTCAGAGATACTACCTCCTTAAGTAATGAGGAATGACTGAGAAAGACACCTTGCTTAGAAGTCTATCTCAAGCAAAAACATGTACTCATGGATACGTATCTTCATACATCAAAGCCAGTACCTATGAACACATACATACACAAAACTGATGTATACATTTATTAATACCTAGGATGACTATTACTCAGAGACACTGATATCAGATGTAGGGTTTTTATACCATGTCTGACCTCTGAGAATGGATTTTACCATATGACCTACAAATTCTGCTCAGCTTTTCTGTCCTGGATGTCTACAACATATAAATCATAAAAGCATACCCAATAGAAAAGGAAATAAAAAGCTCACGCACATTGGAGATCACATTGGAGCAGTCAAGCATCAATCTCCCACTAGCTTCTATTAGGAAAAATCAGAGGACCAGATGAACTTCCTGTGGAACCAGATAGAAGGGAATACAGAGACCAACAGCCAGATATTGTGCAGAGACAGAGTCTAAATTGGAGGTCTCCATTGGGAACCTCCCCTCAGAGTTTGGGCAACTCCAAGTTGAGGGACTGTAGGAATCAGAGGGGATAGAAAACATCAGGAGAACGGGGCCCACTGAATCAAGTAAGTAGGGCACCTATGGGTTCACGGAGACTGAAGAGGTAATCACAGGTCCTGTTTGAGTCCTACTCCATGCACATCTCGTGGGTGTTAGCTTCCCAGTTTTGTAGGATTCCTAACTGAGCGAGCAGGTATGTTTCTGCCTCTTTTGCATACCCATGGGAGTTATTTCCTCCTATCAGGTTGTCTTCTAAAAATTGTAATAAAGGCTTTTGCCTTGCATGGTTATAGTTTGTTCTGTCATATTTGGCCATTTTCTCTTGGAGGTTTGTTCTTTTTGATAGGAGACAGAGGCTGAATGTATCCAGGATAAAAGAGAAGTGAAATTGGAAATGGGAGGAGTAGAGAGGGGAACTATGGAAAAGAAAAAACAAAATTTAAAAAAGAAAGAAAATCAGATGGTAAGTGAGACGTGATTATAAGGCTTATCTGGGTTATCGTTCAACAACTTGAAGGTCACCTTGTTGAAACTACTGAGAGCTTCGATCATCCTCTGAATGTATCCTATGCCTGACCAACTTGAAGTCATGAAGCAAACAATCAATCTCCAAATCTGTCCAATGTCATTAGTTTTATGAACATATCTTGCATGGATGGATTAAACATGAACTGCTGGATTACCTCCCTTCCAAACATCTTTTTCCTTACCTTAAATCACAGTTCTTCTGCATTCTTTAAGTAT